CAAATATACACACATACAGGTGCGCATTCATATACATATACACACATACATGTACACTCACATATACACATACATGCATGCATATGCAAATGCACAAATACATATGCAAATATGCAAATACATATACATGTGCACACATGCACAAATACACACATACACGTGAATATTCATATACACATGTACATTCACACATGCAAATGCATATGCAAATACATAAATACATATGTAAATGCACAAATACATAAATGTGCACATATACACACGCATATTCATACACACATACATGTACATTTACACATACACATACATGCACACATGCAAATGCACAAATACACAAATACATATACATGTGCAAATATACACACATACACGTGATACTCATATACACATACATGTACATTTACACATATACATGCACACATATGCAAATGAAAAATACATATGCAAATGCACACATACGCAGATACATATACACGTGCACGCATACACACAGATGCATATTACATTTACACATACATGCACACATATGCAAATGCACAAAACATACATAGGCACATATGCACATGCATATTCATACACACATACACATACATGCACATACATGCAAATATACATATACATGTGCACACATACACAAAAATATACACACGTGTGCATATTCATATTAACATACACACTTGTACATTTACACACACATACATGCACACATATGCAAACACAAATACATATACATGTGCACATATACACGCAAATATACACATACATGTGCATATTCATGCACACATAAACATATTTACATGTATGCATACAAAAGACATGCACATAAACGTGTATACACGCATGCACGCACACGTATATGCATATACAGGTGTGTGCATACACCCGTACACATATGTGACACATACACAGATATACGCACACACACGCAACTGCAGGCCAAGCTTTCGATGCTTTGTCACGTAATAAAACACACAATAACCGTTAAAATGCAACGTCCGTTGCCTGAGCCGGTGCGGAGTTTCTGGACCGTGTGTGTGGCCACTCTCCGGGACCGGGACGTCTCCCGATTTAGCTCTTTGCCCGACTGTCTTTAAAGCGAAGCGTCTCTGTGACCCGACGTGGTGACGTCTCACGGCGTCTACGTGCGAAATGGGCCGTCACCCCGGCCTAGGCCCAGAAATGTTGCTTCTGTTTAATCTGATTTGAAAATAGATAATGAAGTGATTTCATCGAACAGAGGGCTGACACTACAGGCTCACAGTAGCAAGCCTGGCTGATTATTTTGTGTTTTATTTAGAGATGGGGTCTTGCTATGCTGTCCAGGCTGGTCTTGAACTCCTGGCCTGAAGCGATCCTCCCGCCTCACTGGGACTACGGGCACGCGCCACGCACCACCGTGCCCTGCTAATTTTTTCTATATATTTTTAGTTGTCCAGCTAATTTCTTTC